GGGATAATACACACATTCATTCTATGACAATTAAAAAAATATTTCATGAGCCCTAAATTGTTCATTTCAGTTCTGAGGAAAGAAAAGGCAGCAAATATGTTCCTTCAAGCAAATTCTAAATCTCTCAGCCATTTAACTTGAGCCCAACTTTTACATTATGAAGAACTACATTTTATTAAGGCTCTACTGTAATACAAATACTACTACGCAATAAGAAATAAAAGCTTTACAGATAAAGATAACCCAACCACCCACTGAATCACACACAAGCTCAAATTTCAGCTGCCAAATATATGCTGTATGCAAGACTACCCTAATTTGGATCTCCCAGACCAGCACTAATTATTGCCAAATGTAGCAGTATTTGGTAGAAACTTTAGAGTACTTTTAGTTGTATACGTGATCACATGCACCATAATACAAAGATACTGACATACCTATAAAATATATTATTAATTTGTTTCCGGATGTAAGCTCTTAGGCCTAAGAATTTCCCATATATTCTGTGAAGAGTTGTTTTAAGAAAATCTCTTTCACGAGGATCTTCACTGTCAAAGAGCTCTAAAAGCTGCAAAAAGGGAAGAGATGCACTTTACCTGAATCTAATGCATTGTAAAAATAATTTAGTGCTTGAAGTTAAAAACTATTTTTTTACCTCACCTGTAATACAAACTTCTGATCAATATACTTCTTAGCTATATTGGGTTGAAAATCTGGAGATTCTAAAAACCTTAAGAAAAACTCATAAACAAGCTGAAAAGAAAAACAAACCAAAAATAATATTAGTCTTTTAAATAAGGAATCATTTTATAAATAGCAAATTACCAAAATTACTAGTAAGTTGCTGAGAGCTTCACTATGTTTTTATTTATATACCACAGTAAAAACTTTGCTCTTGCTCTCCTGACAAAGTACAAGAACTTAGGTTTCTTTAAAGTACATTGAAATTCTGCTGAGCTCCATCACCAGATTCTACTCAAATGACATACAGCAATCTAATATTCATCATTCCCAGAAGTATGTGTTTTGAACGTTCTCTGTTTCCTCTGTCACAGCACCTCTGAAAGCTAAAGCCGTGCGGGAGTCAGTTCAAAGCATATGTTCAGAGTGACTAGCAGAAGCTCATTTAAAATCATAGCAGTTACATCTGCACCACAAGACACAATGAACCTTTAATCTACAATATACTGGGGTTGTTTTTTTTAATCATCAGTTTAAATTCAAGAAATATATTTTAAATATTGTGGAGAAATGTAATTGACTTAAGACAAAAGCATAACAAACAATTCTGAGCCAAGAAACAATGACTTTATTGTAAGAATTCTGTTAAGATTATGATGTCCTAGTCTTCATTAAATACCTGTAGATGAGGCCATGCAGCTTCTAAGGTTGGTTCATCTTCCTCTGGATCAAATTCTGCTCCCGTTGGATTGGAAGATGGTGGTAATGTTCGAAACATATTAACTGCAAACTGAAATCATATGTGCCTTTAAGAACTCTGAACCAAGTGGATGATTAAAAAAAAAAAAAAAAAAAGACTTCACAGATGGTTTTGACCGAGAATTCTTTTGAACTATTTTAATTAATATTTGCAAAAATACAAGCTATGCAACCTAGCTGTTTAACCATGAGCTACATTCTTTGTTAAAGATTTCTACGTTGGAGAACACTTTCCCATGCAGTACTCTAAAGCACAGACCTGTCAGGATGTATTTTGTGGGGTATCACTACGATGTCTTCACACACACACACAATTTTAAAAAGCCCAAGTATATATTAAATGTTTACACAAGTATGTTTTATATATATCCATATATATATATTAAAAAAAGCCAAACATAAAAAAATATATACACACACACTTTACAAGGCTTTGCAACAAACCAGCAACAGTGGAAAGCAGAAGCAGAGATGCAAAAAGATTACCCACAACTGTTCTCTAAAATATTATCAGTTTCATTTCACACCATGAGGATACACATGGGGAAACACTTCAAAACCAGATTTTCCCCCCAGTGGTATTTCTCTTAAACCATGTCCATCTACCTGACATCATGGGGACACTGAGGTAATAGAAATGCATATCCCAATCCTTTCGTCTTTCACTTTGTCTGCATTCTCAAACCCCTGAAAACCACTCATCATCCTTGCGGAAGTGGAGCAGACTACAAAGATGAATTGATTTTCAAGTTGTTGATACATACACACAGAGATACATTATTTTTGTGTTTCCAAGTGCTTGTCTAGACTCATATTCGTGCTATATATGAACTGAAGTAGTACTCTTCACAAACCCCTTTAACATGAAGAGTTTCCAAGACCCTAATAAAGACAAAACACGCATTCCCTGTCATATGGACAGAAACCTTTTCTTTGAGATCCTGTTTTAGTCAAAACAACCTCATCACTAAATTCATGCAACTTTTTTATTGAAAAAATAATCAGAACTAATCAAATATATATCAGCGTATACAATGCATATAATCACAAATGCAAAGTAAAACACATTTGTTGGCTGAAAAAAAAAAGAAATCTTACGTGATTTTTGGGATAAATTTAGCACGCATTCTCAAGAGTAACCTTACCTATAATGGTGCAAAGATTTAAAAGTCCTGCAGTACCTTAAATTCTCCACCTGTAATGACAGCTAACAAAACCAGCTGGCTGCTCTGTGGATAAGAAAGGAACAACTATCTAGTGATTCAAATAGTTGTTCTCATACTGTGAGAAGTTAATGATTAAAACTTTACTGAGCAAGTTGGGGAGGGACAGGTTTCTGAGTGTGCCAGTAAGAAACCCAACAAAACCTTTACCTGTAATATGCAAGACAGCAATAGCTGTCAGTACTGAAAAGAGATTAATTCCTCAATTCCACTTGTAATCCATAGTATTAGGTAAGGCAGACATTGATAGGAGACAACCAAACTGCTGAGCAAGTAAAAAAGTGTCATCTCTTTAGCCATGTAAGTGCACCAAATAGAAACTTTGTTCTATTTTGTTGCTTACTCATTATCAAACCAGTACCAAGCAGTCTAAATTGATCTTTGTATAGAATTAAAAAAAAAAAAAAATCAATTCAAATTAATATATGGTCCCAAACCACCTCCACAACTTCAAAATGATCCTTTAAGACAAATGTCTCAGTCTCTCAGCAGCTTGAACATGTTGTAGAACCGATAAGACTGCCAAAATAGAAAAAGTGGTGTACTGTCCTCGCCCTTCATAGCCATTGAGTGTACTGGGCTCCATAAAGAAACTCTTTTCAAGTCTATTCCTTCTTACAACGCTGAAGTAAATTCTGCTTTCAAATCCACAGCTCATTTTGTGCTTCATAGAAATATCAAGGTATTTAAAAGTAAATTTTGGTACACATTTGCTCACAATGAGAATGGTGGGTAGGCTGAATGGAGAGCACATCCTCCACATGTATTTTATCAAGTCAGCTGCAGCTGGCAGCATGGAGAGTCAGCATAAGGCATACATATACTCCATCCTTAATAGGTACCACAAGTACTGGTAAGAGTTAACATATACATTGTTATTGATAGTCTAGTGCTGTAAGAGATTGGAGGTGCCTTCCTTTTTACAAGTATTTAGGAGAAAACTGGAGAATACATTTCCTAAGTGTGGCAAAGTAAGAGACAACAGGGCAGAGAAGCTGATTTGTCAGGAAAAAGAAAATTCTTCACAAAAGGTTGTAACACCAGGAGCAGCAGAAACATTTACAGAGCCTTTTCAAGAAAGCCAATACTTGGCTCAGCAAACATGCCCGTAAAGAACATCTGCAGGAACAGCTAGGATAGGGAAAAAAAAAAAAAAGGAAAAAAAAATAACTCTATTGGAACCTGCACTGAACTGAATGTCTTATTTGAGGATTCAAAAGAACGTTTTCTTTATTTCATCAGTTGAAAGGTTCCTAATGCTGTCAAGAAGCGTGTAATACACAATTAAAGTAAAAAAAAACTAAAAACAACCCTAAACCTTACAAGTTTGAGTTTACTTAAAATGTAGCTATTCAGAATGCAATGTCTACTCCAATATAAAATTTAAAATCTACTCTTAATGCCTCAATTTCAGTATTCGTTAAGCTATTACGCTCAAATTCCATTGCAGCTAATAACTACATCTGCCATACACACATTTTTATTCCTAGGTTTTACTCTTCTTTTTTTTTTTTTTTTTTTTTTTTTTTTTTTATAGCACCAATGCTTTCTTGCTGATCATTTGAAGAGTACTCAAGAGCTTGGAAAGATTAAGCTGTCTCAGTTTAAAGACGCTACTTTGCAGAGGAATGCATTCTACCCATCTTTGATAGGATTCTGGGAAAATTATCAGAATGCCACATTTCCTTCCCTCTTCACATTCTGACTTCTTCTCATTAACACCTCCATTCACAGTTTAAAATAATGCTGTGAATTACCTATTAACTGGCAGGGCTAAAGAGCATATGTATGTGCTGCCCTGCCATCTCACATCTGACAGATGGCAAAGCAGACAGTGGGAGGCAGTATGAAACTGCATTAGCTAAATCTGCAAGGCTTACATCACATTCCCATAAAGGAAAAGTCATCCTCATGCTTCAGAACGTTCCTTCATTTCTGCACCTGAGATGTAGGTCTGATACAGGGAGAGACTGGTCTACCAGAGTAATTACTATTTCAGAGAATTAGAAGTATAGCTGAAATATCTTTATGTTCCCCTTTTAAAAAGCATAGTCATCAAGCAACTAACAACTTCCAACCTTTGTTTAAAAACAAAAATTTACAATAATCAATAGTCTTCCAAGAAAACAAACCCAGGAAGACTATACTTGAAATGTAAAACTTGCTAAGGCTTTTAAGCAAAAGGAAGAATAATTAGCTGCCTATAGATGAGCAAGTCTGAGGCTCTCGCTATAAAGAAAAGCCAGGTCATATAGGGTGCTAGGTACAACAGTTTATATTTTTTATTTTTCAGGATACCAAAGGGAAAAACCCGTACAATAATTTGTTCCATAAGCAGTGTTTTTTATAGCTCTGAACAACAGAACATCTAACTGCTCAGATCAATGTGCGTCATCTCTCAGTAAAGGCACAACAAAACCCTGAAACTCTTGTCCATTAAACATGAAATTTCCCCCAGAAATACCGAGTAAATGTAGCTTAAACACATCAGCTCCCTAGCTCCACCCCCACCTCAAACCCCACAACATCTCATCAAATTTATTAAGCTTGAGTCTTTATGAAAACTGGGCTAGTGTGCCAAAATTCTCTCTGTGTTACTAGCACAAGACAACACTTGACTCCAAAGGATGTAACTAAGGAGGATGGTGGAAAGAAAAAGGAAAAGCAACCTGCATTTTTACCACTTCACAGATATGTTTGTTGTAATGGTAGTTATGCACCCTGTTTTTCTGGTGACCTATTTTTGTGTAATCCTGGAGAACATTTGCAAGCAACTAAGCATCAGAGATACTGTTACACATTTTCTCCTCCCTTCTCCTGAGCACCTGAGTGAAGCCTGACACAAACAGCTCTAAATGACAATGTATATAATCTGAACGTCTGTGCCTTCTATATTTGCATGAATAAAGCCACCCTAATAGCTAAATAGCATCACAAGTAGTAAGCTTCTATTCAAAGTAGCATTTCTTATCCTAGACCAAAGACGAAAGAAAAAGAAACCACACACAACCTCACACCTGCAAAACACCCAAAATAAACATGTAACTGCAGAAGCAACATAGCTGTTTCAGAACAGATGACCAAAAAACCCCAAACTTGTTTCATAAAAGAAGCCTAAGAAAACCTGCTATCTGAATTTAACCTCAAAATACTAGTCCAGGGACTTACATAGCCTACTGCAGTGCTGTGTAAGTCCCATGCAAGGGAACTCCATGCCCTTCAGAACCTTGCACATAAAAAGCATTTTAAATTCACCGAAAGAGTTGTCAAACTCATGGTGCATGCTCCCAGCAAAACAGCAGCAATTAAAATAGCAGCCAAATTCTGCACCAAGATTTATTAAACTGACCACAGTCCAGACTTCATTACCACTAGCTGCACCTGAAAGCAAAGAAAGCTTATATTCTCCTCAGCCAAATGTATTCTGGCCATAAGTGTTTGATGGAAGATAATGCAGGCACATAAGGCAAAAGTTATGAAATTATGGGCAGTTAAGACTTCTTACACAGAGCAAATGCTTGTATCCGACTTAGATATTCAAGAACTCGAACTCCATTTTACCTAAATGAAGTCTCAGCAAGCTTATTCTCTTTCATAATTCCCGTTTCATCAGTGCCAATTACTCCAAAACAAGCAATCAATTACCAAAAACCAGAGATACAAGCTATCAAGACATGGAAAAAGCCATGATCCCATGTCTCCTCATTAATCATCCTCAATGCTTTGTGTACATGTTTGACATCTACAGTCATACATAATCCTACTATACTCAGAAGTTCTCATGAAAATAACTTGTGTTTCAGCGAATATTTATCGAGGACTTTGAGAATAAGCAGTCTTCAGAATAAGCAATGTCTTTCATACTATAAATCCACAGAATCTTTGAAGAAGCTTCAAAGTATGCGATTGTTAGGATGGCTTCAAAATTTTACTAAGTTTGTATTCATGTTAAAGATGCCCTGTTTCCTCAACCTCCTGATATATCACATCAAGCTATAAAGTCTTGGGAAAAACATCACGTCACACATGATCAAGAGTTTCTTGCGGGCTGGAAGGATTTTCAGAAGATGCTTTCTGTTCACAGTGTACTGCAGACAACAGCTACAGACCTCAATTCAACTGCTATTCCACACAACTGGTGTCTAGTCACCATGAGAGCTTAAAGACTCGCCTGTAGTTTCAAGTCCACTGCAGAGAAGGAGCTGGCCATAAGCCCAACAGAAAAACAGACTAGGCCTGGCTGGCTAGGATCTGGATAGTGAGAAAAGAGAAACAGCACAGGCCTGAACTGTTCACATAGCTTGTTCCAGCAGAACCCTTATCTGCCATCCTTGTGGACTAAAAGTCTGACTCTTATTCTCACCTTTAAACACAGGAGAAAATCAATTGCTGGCACTGAATGAGATTACATTAAGATTGTAAAACTTGCACAGGTGATCTTAATTCTTTTTTGTCAGGTTTTGAGTTTCACAATCTACATGCTTTTTGAACAGTTACATGTATTTCACTCCCCTTCCTATTTTTATAAATAACTATTAAAATTGATACAGATAAAAAAAGCAACCATGAATTAAAGAGATCAACATAGTTCTCATTGTTAAGTGACTTACCATATGTACTACTTCAGGGTAAATAGGTTCTGTAATCACATTGCGATTGTGTGTGATATATTCTACCATTTCACTTAAAGCTGCTCGTTTTACTTCCTTCCACTTTAGGTCACTTAGTGGATCAGAAACAAAGTCAAAAAGTACACAACATTGTCGTAACTTCTGGATAAAAAGCTTTTCTTGATCAGCAGGAGGAACATCTGAAAAGTGAAAATAATTGGTTATAAGTTATATTATAGTAGACTTCACTCTACTCCCCTTTGCCCAAGACACAGGCATAGCAGTGTTTAAGACTACAAAGTAAACTGTCTGAATCTTCGAATAACTTTCAGGAATATAATGGTCCAGAGTTATGAGCCACAGTAAAATATGCCGTACATGACAGGATGATTTAACAAAATTGCAAGTCATACATACTTGCCTTCGCCAGGAATTGATACTGAAAAAAAAAAAAAAAAAAAAAAAAAAAAAACAAAACCAAAAAACACCTGAAAAAAAACACCTCAAGGAATACCCCAAACAGCTCAGTTTGTGGAAGAATATTATGTCACATTGCATAAATCCTCTTTTTACAATATTAGAGATAAAGAGGCAGATCTTTAGCTTCATTAGATTTAAACCAGAGCCGCTTTTTAAACCTGGGAGCTGCCACCTCACAAAGCCCATTTTTATATCAAGTGCCCCCTATAACACAACAGGCTGCAGTAACCACATCCAGGATTTTTTTAAAACCTCACTAACACAAGAAATAGTTAGAGAAACTGGAGCAACACACTCAAGATCCTCCACTACTTGGTCAATTTGTAACACTATTTTGAATGTTTGTTTCACATGTACAAGAGTTAGGCTTGCATTAATTATCTATCTATTTAAGCACTCACAGGAGTCTGATTAACTGTGGCCAGCACTGCAAAATTAAACAACACTGGCCTTCTAGAAAAAAACATACTTAACCAAGATTAATATAAGATATGAAAAGAATACCAGTAGATTTTAAAACAACATAATATCTCATTTGATATTTACTGATTGTTTAATCATCACTCAGATGCAGCTGGTAAGAAACTATTTTGACTTCTTCTATGGTACCTATTTAAAATATTTCACAGGCTTCAAACACCCTGAGACCAGAGACCAGACTCCCTCATCTCCTATAATGAATAGAGGAAAAAAAGATAGTAATAAGAAAAATTGTACTCTCTTGGTAACACTGTAATTCATTGCCTGAATCATTGTTACACAAACACCTAACTTTGAGACAAAGGTTGCCTTGCCTTACACAGTCTTTCTGCAGTGCGATTTTTTACTGTTTGACAAGGATACCTGGGTTATAAAAAAAATTACCTCTCAATTTTCACTTCATGTGCTTTACACCTTAATCCTCCCTGCTGATCCTCTGTAATTAATTACGTAGCACTTCGAAGTAAAGCGAAATCAGATTGCACATTTCAAACTTCATCAACAACTGACAAGCAAGCAAGCCAGCTGTACTTTTGCCCTCAGTATTTTCCAAAATAACGAAGCTTCAAAAGAGTTAAGTATACTCACATCGACATAAACCCACTGATTATATTTTGAAACTAAAGTAGGCCGAAATCACCAAGCCCAAGTACAGATGTAGTTTAGGTTACTGTTAAGAAAGAACTGTCATTAGACTGCCATTTATAAACATTCATGTGTTGACAAACTGATATATCGCCTATAGCTAACATTTCAACAGTTACAGAAGTTATGCCTTTTAAAAACTCTACAGAGCCTTAGCCTCACTGCCACATAATTCTGAATGTGCTTTATTTTTCGCTTAAGTAATCCCCATAAGCAGTGAAGATGACTAATGCATGTGAAATTACAGATCATTATACACAGCAAAACCTTTCACGATCAGAACCTTAACTTTCAATACTTGGGAAATACACAATTAACTGGCTAGAGGTAAAGAACGCTGTAACCTATTTTGACAGCAGCAAAACTCGTGTCCAATTAAAATGGCTACATAACTACAGCACCAAGGTAGAGACAAGAAATGTGAACACACCACATTTTAGATGCGTAAATTAACACATTTTATGTTTTTGCATAATGACTATTTTATTGTTAGATATGAACTGCTAAGACGTTAATAGCATGTTAAAATCAAAGTAAGACTAGACTGCCTCTGTAAATAGTTCTGCAGTTTACACCCACTTCTTTTAGTTGATGACTTTTCTTTTTCCTTGGAGTATTATAAAATCCTAAAATTTTCTTCAACAAGTAGCAAGAGCTACCACCAAAGTATTTCCAGCAGTGCTACTGAATATGAGCACTGAGAAGCTAACACAGGCGAGTACAATCACATAAACTGAATGTCTGACCTATCTACAGTCCAGTTGATTAGTTAAATACAATGAGCTGCTCTCTTTTAAGTGCCTGACAAACTTCCGAAGATAACAAAAACTGAAGTAGCTCCTCCCTCATGAAGAGAAGTTGCTTTCAAAGGTACTTTGTTATAATAAACCTGGAGGACATACTTGGTTTAAAATGGCACGGTTTTTTTTTTTTTTTTTTTTTTAGTTACATACACAGAATTGCTCTGAAGATTAATTCCAGAATAAAAGCTTCTGAAGTAATAGCCCTGGAGAGCATGCAGAATCAAAATTGTAGCCTACACGAAATAAACCACAACCAGCTACAGAACTCGGTGTCATCAAACCACCTGGGACAGTCAAGGCTTCGAGAACCAGGAAGAAAGTGGTAAATGATAGGTGTCCCTAAGCACAGTAACAGCTTTCTGGCAAGTAAACCAAAATTCCTGTCCAGTGTTGTGAACAAACTGAAGGTACTTTAAGACACACTTTTGTCTATTTGGATTGAAAACTATAGCAATGAGTGATTTCTCCTGGAAAAAGAGTATTTAATCAAGTAATTTGCATACTGAAAGTCAGCCAAATTTATGACCTAGATGTACAAAGTCTCAGATGTATGAAGTGCTTACCTTTTCTCAATTAACTGTAAGATGGAAAGTGTAACAACACAGTTTCATTTCAGGATACTGTGCTATGAATGTATCCTCCAGATCCAAAGCCTAAATAGAGACTATAAACATACAAGTAATGGACATACAATTACAGTGATTTACAGTACACTGACCTGAAAGGAGAGGAAGCATTAAAGCTGTAATTACTACTAATCTCAGAAGTTAAAGACTGAGAACTAAGAGGGTCAAGAAACACCCTTAACAAGGCAAGCCACCTCCCTCACCATTTATTCTGAAGTGGCTTAACTATTTTAAGTACCTAGTCATCCTTATTCTAGCTGAGAGAGATGTTCTTCATGCAGACCGAGAACCTCACATATTTCTAAGGAACTGTGTTTTGTTTGTTTGTGGTTTGTTGTTTGTTTTTTCCCCTTTAGGAGAGTTAATCCACAGCTTTCAAAGTGCCTGGACCTCAAATCTCGTATTTATCTGGAGTACTTGCCATCAAATAAATATCATCCCTTTTAAGGTTTGAAAGGATGATTTCAATATGACAGAAAATAGAAGGTGGCTAAGAAGCTGACTTGAGTAGATGGTAATTTTTGTGCAGAAAATGTATGCACACCTGCAGAAGAGCTCCAGATGCCACAAGAAGTTGTTCATCCTCAGCCACACGCCAGTGACTATCTGGTTATGATCTTTCAGTAAACTCTATGGTGACTCCTACACTACCTTGCACTTCAACTAAGCGACAACCCACAACTCCCAATTACTGAAGTTAACTGGCTTACTTGAAGAGATTGCCATTAGGAAGAAGTTTCCATAACTGAGCAACACTGGTGCTCCATTCCTGAATAGCCATGAGAAGGCCATGGTTATTCAGAAGCTACTCCTTACAATAATTCCATTTGGAATTATTTGGAGCTGTTCACTAAGTAGTGTTTTTTGTACAAATGAACAAAAAAACCAAAACAAACCAATCCCTCCCAAGCAAAATTAAAACAAAATCAAAACAATGAGACAAACCACACACCTTCACCACCTCCATTTGCTAGCCACTATTTACATCATTTTCACAGAATGTTTCTAAATAGTAGCACAATTATAATCCTAAGACTTCTTATTCAACACTTACCACTATCAGGAATCATACTTCAAATGAGTACTATTTCTGGTCTTCTGCTGGAATAGGAGCACAGTTCTTCAGAATCTCAAAGAATTTCAGTCTTACATTTGGATTGGTTTCCCAGCAATTCCTGACAGACTTACACAAATATTATAATGACATATTTTATGCCTAAATCCACATAGTTTTCCTACTGTCCTTTTTGCAAGATAGAAAAATACACTAGAAAAAGTATTAAAAGAAGGTAGGTACTATGATAGCAAGGTAAGCCTCTCGGCCTGAGCGATCAGCTATTTGGTTTATTCAGGTTTCTCAGAGTTTCTTTCCTTCTGAGCCCAGGACATTATATTGGCTTACACAACCAGCCTACAGAGATGGAAGCTCTGCCCCTTCTATTTTAAACGTGTTCACACTGGTAACCATCCTCCCTCTGTCCTTGCTTCTCAGCTAGGATATGGTAATCATTCTGTACCCAGGAGCTACCAACAGACTAGAGCACGCCGAGAAACCATTTTTTAATGTACAGCAGAGCTAAAGAACAGTTATATTCCAACAAATCAACATTTTTCCTGTCTTCATACTGAAACAAATTTTATCTGCTTTTAGAAAATTAGAGATCAAGTAGAAATAAACCAGAAAACACTGAACTTCAGTTTTTAAGTGCCTCAACATGTGTTCAATATTGTATGGTACATGAATATTTTCAAATTGCAGGAGTGTAGAGAACTTATTGTTCTCTGGGTAACATTTTTTTATGTTCCTTCAAATCTAAAAATTATTTTTTTAGTTTTGCACTGTAATTGTGTCAACCCTGGGCACTGATGATTGATCCATCCCCTATCTTTTTTGCAGCAGCCACTTTTTCTATGGCAATGGTGTAACTGAAAAACTGAGTAGATGAAAGGCAAGGCAGGGTAAGTAGGTGACCCAGAGATGTCACACAAAACAGCTGTTTTCTAGTACAGATTGGAACTGAAATGAAGCTAGAAGTTTAAAGGTTTTAGATCATGTCCTGACAGGAAGAACAGCTCATACAACTTCTACCACAAAACACTATTTGTGGTCAGTAAAAGCAGGAGTGCTTGTATTAGACTCAAGAGAGCACAATATATAAACATTTT